CTGTCCATACATACATCATACACAATAGATGTCATAGCTTCAACTTTCCTCTTAGCGTCCCCCTTCAAAGTATTATTGAGGATCTGCTGTAAGTCAGCATCCAAGTCTTTCCATTCAGAACTTGATGCTGCTGGTAGTTTCAGTTTTGGTTTCCTTTCAAAAACTGGTACTTTCACTGCTTCTTCCTGCTCTCTTGTGTTCACTTCCTCCTCTACGGAGACTACCTGGACACTGTGGTTGTTAACCGGGTCTGGGTTGTCCTGCGTCTGACGAGGGGTATTCACCTCTCTGCGTTGTGTTGGAGTTGATGAGCACTTCGTTTTACCTTGATGTATTCTTACGCCATGCCAGTTTTTGAAGATTCTTCCGCAACTTTCACATGAATCTCGTCGTCCGTTGTCATTGCGTGGGTCCTTGTCCGTTGTGTTCTGCCTATTGGATGAGTCTTCCGCCCCCCATCTCGGATCATCCTGGGGGTATTCTCTTGTTTGGTTGTCTGTAGCTGTAAAAGTGGGTGCTTCGGTCATCTGATCAAAGCATGGTTCTTAAGGGTGCTGGCCTTCAGAACCCCCAATGCTGTCTTTCCAAGCTGTCACAGTTCTATTCTCTGTCGCCATAGGGACTTTCCCCTAGGTCACTGGATAATTCCAGAACTAATGTTGAATTAAACGCTGATGCGCTGTTACCCCAATTCATTCCTAACTCACGCTGCAGCTTCTGAAAACAATATGCATGAATGGTGCAAGACCGGGTGGATCCGTAAGCGTCTTCTGCTGTTAACTCCCGCCCATTATGGAACCCATAATGAGACACCATGCATGTATAAAGAGAAGCTTAGGGGTGGTCGAAATGAGATGGTAATTACTAATGGGGCAACCATGCAGCACTGCTTCGCAACCATATCCATCTGGAGCATCTCTCCGCTACTGTTGCAATCTGCATACTTGCTCGCTTCCGCTTGGTAGATGGCATTCCAAGGGACTTCAGCATCCAAGTCACTGACTTTCCAGCAAAACCCCTGCATCCTACTTCAATAGGGAAGCTGTGGGCTTTCCAGTCCTTCTGTCTTGCTTAAATAAATAAAATAAATAAATAAAACTAAATATTCGAGTTAAAATAAATTACAAATAATGCATTTAACAATCCTTAATATCTTCCCGTCTGTGTTTATCAGTTGAATATGACAAGGGGCATTGCGAAAGAGTCTAGAAAGACGGTGCGACAACGAGAGCGCAGGGCTGAAAAGCGCGACAAAGAAGAAAACGGGTAGGGTTTGAAATGTCTACTTTCTGGTGATTCTAATTCTGTATATCGTGACACAACCTTTTTGAATATAGAATTGTATTGAAGCGCACATTTTTCTGAACAAAACTTGAAGTTTTTAAGAAGATTCCACGAATATTAAAACGTTTGCAATTACTTGGAGGAGCATTGCGCATATTTATCGCGTAAATCTTTGCATTTTGTCGGTAAAATGAACAATTACACTGTTACGCCGTGATGTACAGTATCTGACGTCGTATCTCTTACGTTTCATGAACAACATATTTGGAGACATTTTTGTAAACAATTCTGTAGTCCCTGGCCTGTACGAAGGAAAGCAAACCATTGTTAATCAAGGTTTCGTTTTTGGATCTCAACTTACAATTCCGAGGAAATCATTGTCTATTTTATGTTTATGGTGGTCAATGACTTGCGACCAAATCGTAAGTTACGACGATTCCAAAAGCAACCCCAGATTCTGAAATAATAGTTTAGTTAACTTTATTTTTCAAGGAAAGACTGTTTTCAAACCATGGTTCATTTTTGTTTGAGCATATCTAAAATTCAAAGATGATTATTGGTTTGTTCTAAAAAGAAAAAATCCAATGTCTGTTACAAGTAGGTCACCGTGACCTGTATATATTTATCAAAAATCGTATTCTTATTCGCTTACAAATTAAATTTTGAGCAATGTAATATTATGTTATCAAAATTCAATCCTGTTTCTGATAACAATTCGAGATGAACATCATTCACATCAATCAAACTAAATATAACTTTTACCCTTCAGCACAGTTCAAGATTTTGATTGACAGGTCTATATTTGGAACATGAAATTGATGGCCTGTGTTAAAACTCCAAGTTCAAGCTGATCTGGTCACTCACTAAGACAAATTAGAAACAGAATTTCATAGAAATTGATCAATTCTATCTTTATATTTCTTAGTCAAAATATATTTATAGAAACATTGACCTTCCAAACCATTCTTGGGAATGTATTAAATATCGTTTTAAGCAAGAGGTTTTAATCATGATTATTTTTGTCCGAAAGGGGATTTTTGCAATGTTTTGCAACACTGTTTTGTCAAAGAATTTCTATAAAAAGCATCTACACTTCATAAGTTCAGGGTTTCGTATGAATTTTTCGTGTGATGAAACGATAATCAGTTTCACCAGAATAGTAGTTTAAGCTTTATTTGAATATTTTGTCATGAATATATTCCTCAACTTTTTGAAAATAGAGGCCTACATGTACCGCATACACGCATTTCAATATGTATTTTCCAAATAATGCCTCTGACTTCCAACTACTGAAGTTCATAAGGTGATATGTTCATGTACTTTGTATTATTGTTCTTTGAGATGGGGGCCTAAGTATCGTTTTAGGGGACAACTCATAAGTGAAAATTTTGTTTTGGAGACCTACCTCATTAATGTATTTCCATGTGCATTTTCGATATAATCCTTCTAACTTTATATCACACAAAAACATAATATGAAGTTAATGTTCATTTACTTCGTATAATGTTAATTTGAGATAAGCATGATTTTAGGGGACAACTCATAATTAATGATTGTTTAGGAGACCTTCCTTATTTGTTTATTTCCATATTATCACACTACCCTACCACGTGACCACGTTTAAAAGGGAAACAGGGTACAGCTAAGTTGCAAATGGAGGACGTGAGTTTAATTCCATATTTCTGAGCGTAAAATACATTTTACATTTATTTCTAGTGTTCTACCAGACATAGAATTGATTCATCAAGCAGTTTGTAGAATATTGTTGGCAAAAAAACACTATAGGCAAAGATAGATAATAGTGGGCGCAGTGAAGCAAAACTCGAATGCAATACACGATACATTTCAGTAAATCTATCAACGTACAGGGAGCATGTAAGTTTCCCTTCGAAAATGTACATTGATATGTAACAAAAAACCGAGTTAACTGTTATTTAAACTGCGTGTCATCGTGTTATATGTGGATACTTTTTCTAGTATGTTATTCAACTGTATTTTTGTAAATTAATTGTTTTTCTAAAATCTTGAGATGCATAAAAAGTCGTCCCAGAAATGTATCTTGACCTTATTTGCCGCATAACATATTGTGAAACATTTTTCCTCTTGTCACAGAGAGGATAATGTTTGTTTCGAGGTGTCTTGTGATGAGCGATGAGAGATTTAATTTTGTTATTTTATTTCAATTTGATACCCTAGTAACACTTATAATCTAGCGTTCTTGTTAATTTAATGACTAAAATGCATATACGACCTAAAAGCCCGTGTCTAAATCTACAATATAATGTTTACTTTATTTGGATTAAATAACAATCACTGACATCTCAAAGCATCAACAGGCGGCCTTCTTAGCATTATTTTCACTGTGTGCAACGTAAATGTACATGAGATATGGGACAAAGTATGTCTGTATAATCAGCTTACTGTCTTGCTCCCTGTACTATTGAACAATTTACATTCCTTGTACCCTGTATTGATCAACTTTTGCAACTGTGTACCGTGTACTATGACGTATCAAATATTTTACAATTTAAAATGATATTATTTACATTCTTTCGTCAACTATCATATAACTTGGAACATGGACTTCAATATTGCACCACTGAAGTTCAGCGAATAGCAATATTGACTCACTCCGAGCATCAAACGTATTAACCTTTTGACTAAGCAGTCGATATACTCAAAAGCTACCTGGTTGAAAGCCAAAAAATTCGCGCATGCGCGATCGAGGTAGGGTAGTGTGATTATGTTTTTGCCAAATAATACTTCCGAGAAATACAACAAAAGTAGAAATACAATAGATAACTATAATCTTAATTGAGTCACATTGATGCCCTCGAGTTTTAACTCTCTGTGAAAGAAATCAAACTATTAAAAAGGTTATGGATGAATTTTCCCAACACTGGCAGATCCAGGGTGGGCCCAGAAAAATTGTAGGGCCTCAATTAGTGGGCCGTTTTGGCCATTACTTGGCCTTTTTGGGCCAAATTTTCAAAAAATGGCCGGGCATTACATTTTCAAAATTTGGGCCCAATTTTGGGATTAAGGCACCCAATTATTTTTGATTAACTATTTGATTCTTGGCAAGTTTTGTGTATATTTCATTTGTTGTCTTTTAAAGGGGGGGGGGGTGCACTGACAATTTCTGTCTTCATATGTCAAATATTGAAATACCTTTTATGGATTAAGTGTCTGCTACTATGGTAACTCGTGTTACATGTCATTTTGGGATTGATGTATATGTATTGTTTAACATTGAATTCCTTCCTGCATGACATTCAGATTAAAATATTATAAAATCATGAGTTTAGCAAATGATCACAAAAAGTTCTAACAACGTCCAATCCCAGAATCCGTTCGCTCGGAGGTTTAACCAGTTCGGAAATAGTTTCACGAACATAGTGAGAACAAATGAGCCGTGACTGAAAAAATATCATGGAAGTAGGGCTTCATTAAGAGCTGATATGCCCACTCGGGGAAGGCAGTATTTGGGCAGGGCGGTAAAAGGGTAGGTGGTTCTATTAAATTTTGGTCCTACTCTCTATTGATTTATATGGTGACCTAATTACAATTATTTTCCTTATTATTTATACACAGTCATGACCAGTAAGGGCCGTAAGGAAAGGGGACCATAAACCCCAGGGGACCATAATTTCTTTTACACCTGTTACCCAATCTAAATGCTTTGTGACTAGAACATAAAAACGCTAAGGTATACATTTTTTTTTTTTAAATTGGCTCCATCTGTATTTACATTATATTTCTGTCGACAAAATTGCAAGCAACATATACAATTGACCTACCAATGTATTTTTACCATCTCAAATACAATATATCTCTCTCCATTCATTGCCATGCCTATCTACTAAAACATCTGAATAACTGTATTTCTGTAGAGGCAGATACCTCGTCTGCTTCGTGCCTGGCTACACCTATGCAATCCATTCATTGTCATGCCTATTTACTAAAACATCTGAATAACTGTATTTCAGTAGAAGCAATTGCCTCGTCTGCCTTGCTACACCCATGCATTTCATTCCATTCTTTGTCATATTGAAGAAACCTTCATGTTTTGTCCTTATAAAATGTTATCATGGCAAGGGACCGATTAAACTTTACGAAAAGGACGATCGAAATAATTTGGATTGATACAGTCTATCAAAACTATTGACTTTTTAGCGTCATGTTGCCACTCAAGTTTAACATATCTACCATGCGATTTTGATGTAGCTAACAGATAGTATTCGTGCAAACCATCCATTAAAGATTGTAAAATGCGATTCCTTCTGACCCCAATGAGGTTATTTGAGAGAAATGCATTCCACCAGTTATTACTCCGATTTAGCTTAATATGCTGTACAATCCACACCATTGAAATGAGCATAGGTATACGATCATTTGGCGATAATCTTTGTGGTTCCCCAGGGAATATTGGATTTGGAATGAGCAGGTTAGAGTAAAACAAGTACAGGAAGTCTTCATCGCAATTGTATTCATCATCGGGTATATCGCAGGGATTGTGTTCATCATCGGGTTTTACGATCAATTCATTGATGATGGAAATTAAGCATTCGCCCAAACTGCTTGCTCGACACTTCTGTTGATGATTCAGGATAAGAGTTTTTAGAACATGTGATGAAATTTGCCATACAATTCCCAATAAACGTGTTAAATTGGAGAGATACTTCAATGTTAGAAATAACTTCCGATGGGGTGGTGTTAGTACATACTTATCTGAATTTGGTAGTTCTACCACGGATTCTAACCAAATGTCCCAGGAATTCTTTCTATCAATAATATGAACACTTGGCCCTAACTCATGAGGCTTCCACTTCAAACAGAAACACAAGTCGATGTCTGTTATACCTAAAGGCGCACCAACCCGTATTAGCAAAGCACTTGGGCCATGGATGACAACATTATCTATTTCTTTTTTGTAGGACCGGCGGTAGTTTTGGCTCCAGTAGAATTTTACAGATTTCCGAGTTTCCATTTCTTTTAATACTGCGGATATCGTATTGAGTAGCATGTTAAGTAACTCTTCAGTTCTAAGATCGGCTTCACCATCATTCTCATTGATATTTTCCAAGCACTCGGAAGGTAGAGGATAAGGGAGTTTATTAACATTGATTCTAATTTTGCGTTTTCCATCATCCTCATGGCTGTCACTTGCATTCGTTACATCTGTTACATATTGAGATAGCCCTAGTATCGGATGGTAATCATACTCATCGGGGTGAAGTATTTTTGTCCTGTCATAGTAGCTCCCTCGATTTATCAGCCCATCGGTGGCAAGCGCTGGTTCTATTTTGCCAACATTCTCGAGGATATCTTTTACAAGATTCTCCACAAATGAAGTATGCTCTTCCAACTGGCTTTCTGCATAAACATTTCTAATGTCAACTGTGTTAGCCGTTAGGTTTATGAATTTTGTTAAACGTTTCGTGTTATGTGATTTACTCAAACTGCATCCCATCTTTAACGATAGGTTTAAAATCTTTGATGTTTTTTTTTGATTCCAAATATAAAGTGAACTTTTGTAACTGTAATACGCTGTACACTGTACGTGTATTCACCGTTGCTCAAATTAAGTCCAGACTGTAAGACCCGCTGTAATATTTGTCACTCAGTGTTCCCATGATGGAACTCTCCAATAGAATAATGTATACAACAAATACCCTTGGATCAATGACGTCAGATAGAAGAACGGGTGAGATAACAAGTGTGTTTAAGAAATTAGTTACTTGTTATCAGTGTCGTTAAAGAGATTAATTACTTATAAAGAAGGCAAGGGCAAATTAAAGTTGTGTAGGCCCTATGTGATATAAACAAGTGTATTTATCATTCGACTTATTTCTAAATATTAACGCCTCTGATAAATATGGACCATAGTCTATAACAATCATAGTCTATAACCAATAAAATAGATAATGGATTAGTAACCCAGTTTTTCGAAAACGTTTTCCTCATTTAAAAAAGATCTATTTTTCCAATTTTAACAATATAATATGAAAGGTTTCTCCTGCACTATGTCAGTAACCGTTGAAAGGGTACAGCGATACAGTTAATAAAAAGGACACATCCCATGTTATTTTCCGATAGGAAAAACTCCATGCGGCCCATATTGTTTCAGGCGTATTTGGTCACCGAAATGGGATATCTTCTAAATTTGCAGCCATTGCTATACAATTCTCATCTTCCCTTACTTACGTTAAGCCGGAAAAACTTTTCCTATGGTTTAAATAAGAAAAACTAGATCTTTTTTTAAATGAGGAAAACATTTTTGAAAACCTGAGGAGATGGGCTACCAATCCATTTGTACACAGTTTAGGCCCGTTTTCGAGAACGTAGTGAGAACTAGCAGTAGTTACTAGTAGGTATGATAGTAGGGTAACACCCAGCGACACAAAAGCATGCTTTCCACGCCATCTTAAAAATCGTAAAACGGGATGTGATGATTTTCCAGTCCATGTAGATTTATGTACATGGACATTCAATAGAAGATCGTATAAAATTTGAACTACGTCCAATCCGTTCACATACACTTTAGGCCCGAGGTCAGCAAAAAATTCAAGGACGTAGTGCCAACTTGTTTGGTCTGGTGCGCGGCGTGGTCGCAGTTCGAACATATAGTTTTTTTCTTTTTACTGCACCAAAGCGCTGACGGGTGTACGTGCGTGTGTGCAGGTATCCTAAAGTGTCTCTTGTAACAACCCTAACATCAAGGCCCTAATTATAAAACTAATATTTCTTTGTACGTGCGTGTGTGCAGGTATCGTCCTAAATTGTCTCTTGTAACAGGCCCAACATCAAGGCCCTAACATAAAACTAATATTTCTTTGTACGTGCGTGTGTGCAGGTATCGTCCTAAAGTGTCTCTTGTAACAGGCCCAACATCAAGGCCCTAATTATAAAACTAATATTTCTTTGTACGTGCGTGTGTGCAGGTATCCTAAATTGTCTCTTGTAACAGGCCCAACATCAAGGCCCTAACATAAAACTAATATTTCTTTGTACGTGCGTGTGTGCAGGTATTCTATAGTGTCTCTTGTAACAGGCCCAACATCAAGGCCCTAATTATAAAACTAATATTTCTTCGGACGTGCGTGTGTGCAGGTATTCTATAGTGTCTCTTGTAACAGGCCCAACATCAAGGCCCTAACATAAAACTAATATTTCTTTGTACGTGTGTGTGTGCAGGTATCGTCCTAAAGTGTCTCTTGTAACAGGCCCAACATCAAGGCCTTAATTATAAAACTAATATTTCTTTGTACGTGCGTGTGTGCAGGTATCCTAAATTGTCTCTTGTAACAGGCCCAACATCAAGGCCCTAACATAAAACTAATATTTCTTTGTACGTGCGTGTGTGCAGGTATCGTCCTAAAGTGTCTCTTGTAACAGGCCCAACATCAAGGCCCTAATTATAAAACTAATATTTCTTTGTACGTGCGTGTGTGCAGGTATCCTAAATTGTCTCTTGTAACAGGCCCAACATCAAGGCCCTAACATAAAACTAATATTTCTTTGTACGTGCGTGTGTGCAGGTATCGTCCTAAAGTGTCTCTTGTAACAGGCCCAACATCAAGGCCCTAATTATAAAACTAATATTTCTTTGTACGTGCGTGTGTGCAGGTATCCTAAATTGTCTCTTGTAACAGGCCCAACATCAAGGCCCTAACATAAAACTAATATTTCTTTGTACGTGCGTGTGTGCAGGTATCGTCCTAAAGTGTCTCTTGTAACAGGCCCAACATCAAGGCCCTAATTATAAAACTAATATTTCTTTGTACGTGCGTGTGTACAGGTATCGTCCTAAAGTGTCTCTTGTAACAGGCCCAACATCAAGGCCCTAACATAAAACTTATATTTTCTCGAAAATTATACATTTTTTTATTTACAACAATATTTACATCATTTTCACGTCACAAAATACAGTATTTTAAATATTTAACACACAAATAATTACAATTGATAATCTCATAGTTTGTTCTGTTAATCCAGTATTTGTTATGAGTATTGAATTTTATAAAAAACGACAACATTTAAGTAAAATACATTTAAATAAATTAAATAGAATTAATAAATCCTTATAATAATCTCAAGGTCTTATTCTTTGAAATAAGTATTTGGCAGGAGTATTACATTTAATGAAAAGGTACAATGTAAATGTGTTACATACATTTTGGGATAACTTGCAACTAAATTAACTAAAGCTGTGTTTCACTAACAGAGATTCATTTAACATATAGTTAATGGATCACTTGAAGTGTTGGGTATTACATTGATAAAAGTGTTACATTTACATAAGAGTTACACTTGTAGGGTGTTACACTTACTGAGCTATTTACATGTGTACAAGAGAGTATTTAAAAGATGTACTTTCAAGAATAACATTTCATCTATTTCCTTAACACTGTAGTCTTACAGAAATATCAACAGTACTTAACACCTGCCATTCCTACAATTGACACCTGCCATTCCTACAGTTTGTAACTCATTCTCTAGGATCAGTAACTTCTGATCAAAGGAGACAACAGCAGAATGCATTATAGTACACAGGCCCGTAGCCAGGGGTGAGTGGAGGGAGGGGCCGCTCCCCCTGGGCCAGAAATTCTTTCAAAACCATGCAGTTTTCACCATTCTGAGCACTTTTGCTCCCCCTTGGCAAAAGCTGCCCCCCCTTGATTAAACCACTCCCATCCAGTAAATCCTGGCTACGGGCCTGTTACAATTATCTCAAACTCCAAAATAGAGTTCCACTTGAGAAATGTTCCATCTACAGAGGTTCAGTTAACATTAAGTGGGTCATGTTTCTTTTATGGAGGTGTTACTTAACAGATTTTATACAATAAGTCAATGTGTTTAAAAAATCGAATACATATACATGACGTATTAAAATCCCAAATATGCAAAAATATACATATAATATCACTTATATACAGCATACAAAATATAGACACTTCATGGGACAAAGTACATGTACTTGTAAATGTGAAATGATTTTATGGGAGGTACAAGCTATTTTGTAATTAAAAATCTCATTCACTGAGATATATCCAAATGCTACATGTACAAAATATACAAACATAAAGTCAGTTCATATATACATGATTTGTTGGAACATGCAAACCATTTTGTGTCAATTAATCAATCATAATTGGGGGACTTATTATTCTTAATGTGATGCAAAAATAAAGAATATTCTCTGAATTGATTATTTACATGGGATATGGAAAATACATGCAGAGTAAACCAAAACAGCATACATTCTTGAAAATACAGTTTACATTACCTCAAGAATGGGTCCAAAAATGTGTTACAACCAAACTTCGATCTAATTAGCCAAAAATAAATCATTGGATACTTTATTTTTGGACACTCTGTATCGGTTTAACAATTTTAATTATCAAATTTACGATTTCGGATTTCTTTCTGATATAGCCTCTAGTCCATATTTCATATTTTCACTATCTTTATCATCATCGTTTCTGTTATCATCATTGTTTGCCATCATCATTGATCTCATCACAACAGTCTTTATCATCATTGTTGTCGCTCCTATCATCATTGTTTTTACTTTCATCATTCTATGACTCCTCAGTCTCGATCATCATCATTTCTTTATTTGCCTCCTGGTTGGCGTTAATCTCTTTTGGCTGATCATTGGTGACTTCTAGCGCTGCAGCGTGTTTGGAGTCTGCCATTTTGCGAGTGTGTTCGATGAGTGAAGCACAGACAAAGACCCAATTGTACAAGTACTGGGCGGGAATGGAACCATGTTTTGCTACAGCATTGTGAGGCACCTCTGGAATGGAGAATATATACACATGTGTAGTTTATTAAATGAAAGGTTTAGCATTTCCTCAAAGAAGATTGGCTCCCTGGATTAAAACTTGATATATTCCAACTTGGAAAATGTCGAAATGTCGTTATTTTCTGAAATTATAACCAACTATAAATTCAAAATAAACAGTTCAAAAAATTGGAACCAATATCTTGATCATTTCTTGTGAAAATTTTTCATTAGGAATAAGACCAAAATTCACGATTCAAATGTTGAAGTGAACAAAATGGCAGCTGTTTGGATTTGAATTTTGTATCATGACATGGGACAGAATATATCGATGTTGCACTCTGGGAGCCAACCCCCCATGGCATTTCCTTCAAATTGTAATTTAAAGTAGATATACTCTCAACTTGGGAGATCCTAAGTTATAGATTTCCGCTTTGAAAAATACAAATTTATTAAAAGTTTAGTGTTTCCTAGAAATTGTATTTTAAAATATACACTCCAAATTAGGAGCTCACAGGTTAATTCAAACATGGGGCATTAAAGGCATAGTTGAATTCTATATGCAACATGCTTCAATCTATATCTTGTTTACTTTGTTTACTAGTTTGTATGTTTTTTCCACAGTAGGTAGCCTTGAATCAATGCATTTATAAATTCAATGATTATGTTGTAGATAGAAATATAATGTCAAATTTCTCACCATCAAGGTATTCATTAATTTTGTCAACATTAACACTGCGGTCATCTTCTGTAGTTGGGTCATAAGCCATGATCTTCCTGCTCAGGTCCACTGTCACATACTATAAACAAATTAACAAACAAATATACACCTTGCTTTTGCTCCTCAATTACTATACTGTGGATTTTCAACAGGCCTGTAGCCAGGCGGGGGGGGGGGGTTTGATGGGTTCAAGCAAACCCCCCCTGGCCAAAAATTCTTTCAAAAATGCATTTTTTCACCATTCTGAGCACTATGAAGTGATTTTGGCACTTTTTTGACCAAAATTGTCAAAAATGAACCCCCCTGGAATTTTCCAAAAATTTAACCCCTTCTTGGCAAATCCTGGCTATGGGCCTTTGCAATGTGTGACAAAGATGCATTTGTTAAAATTGCCAAACATAAACAGACTTTTACACAGTTGCTAAAAAGGGAACTTTCAGTTACCACACTTTTGGAGGGGCGTGTACTTGTCTCTGCAGCAAAAGTGATAAAATATAAACAGGACTACAACTGTATGTAGCAATTGCAAACAGCAATTTTTCTTATTTTTGAACAATTGAGATGCCTTTTGAATGAAAATGCATTGTTTGTACCCAATTAATCTAGGGAAATTCCAGAAAACTAAATTCATTGCAAAAATTGAAAAATTAACAAAATGTTCATACAAAAAACCTGCAATGTGATTAGAATATACCTACCACTTTGGTTTTAGCCCAGTCATCTAAATCACCACTTTCAGCCTTCTCTGAGTAAAACACAGCGAGAACAGCCTTCAATATATTATGGACAATCTTTGGTGGATCTTTGTAGCTTTTCAATTCAGCGTAAGCTCTGGCATCAAGTTTTGCGACATTACCTCTTAGATCCATTAACATCAACCGATCAAATAAAATCTCAACTCGATTATCTTCATTTCTTTCAGCCTCTAAAATACAGAATGTACATACATATTGAATATAACTTTTGCAGACCTATCAAATTCACTGACAATTAACATATTACATACATACTCATAAGAGGGTTGTTCAAAAAGTTTTGCACAAAAGTTTTACTCATAATAGTACTCTTTTACGGGCCTCATTGCACTACTTTATACGGACACTTAATCATCCCTCAATGACATTGCACTACATTTTACTTCAGCACTATTTTTGACTAAACCACTAAATTTTATTACAATTTACTAATTTAGTACTCATTTTAGTGACCTATATAGTACTGTATTACATACCTAGCGAAGCATTTGTATGGAAGTCAATGGGAAAGTTAGCGAGCTATATCCACCGATATCGCCCGATTACCCCGATATAGCCCGCTTACCTCGTTTTGATATTAGATTTCTTTAATAACCATGATAATATCATGACGTCACGTCATTGATACAAAGTAACCATGGGAACAAAGGCATGTAATACATCAGTTATGTCACTATGACGTGAAATATGTCTTCGTTCTTGCCCAAATATAGAGCCTCCCAAGGTCGGCCTATATTGGGAGAACTCAGGCATATTTCACGTCATAGTGACATAACCTCTAAATATTTTTTAGCAGCACTACTTTTTACATTAGCACTTTATTTCACTGACATTTCACTTTAATTTACTGCTAGTATTTACTCTAGTACTACAATTTACTTACCTATCACTACATTTTACATTTTACTGCAGCACTACTTTAACTCTAGAACTATATTTTAATGACACAGCACTACAATTTACTGACATAGTACTACAATTGACTGACCTAGCCCTATATTTTACATTTTACTGCAGCACTACTTTAAATCTAGCACTATATTTTATTGACATGACACTACAATTTACTGACCTAGCACTACATTTTTCTCTCCCTTTACTGCCTCCTTGGATAGTTCGCCATAAGCCTGGGTCAATAGTTTCAACATTCGCAAAACCTCTTTGTTTTCTACAGCTGGCAGCTTCTTCAAGTCCCCTATAAATGACATCAAACACATTGTATGTTGTACTGAATTATCCAGGCTTGCTCTTATGATCAGTTTCAGGGATTTTTGTCTTTATTTTAAAATCAGGAAGGCATTAACATGCAAAATGTCACCACCTGCCATTTGTTACAGATGCCAACCACCAACCGCTGAACACCATCCACAAAAAGGTTTGAAGCTATAACAATTTACCACAACTTCTGGCCGTGTTGATTAAGTATACATATTTGTGTTCTACAATAGTTAGAAAAATCTAAATCTGGGATCAAAAAAAGTGTTCACATTTGGAGGTGTTGACATGAAGATGTGTTCAGATATACAGGTTTTACGGTACTTGCATTTTTTGATCAGAAATTAGAAATTCAAGAAAGGAATTCTATTTTTAATTTTACATCAGAAACTTGACCTTGTATATGGTATTACATCAAAGTATGTACATATGTATGTACATATACTGCACAACCATTTAACAACTACACACAATATTAACAAACAATTCATTGTTCAGTTAAATCATGCAATGATATCACCCCATTGTTATACTGCTCCCAATTGTTATTGTGCTTTTAATCTTACATGTAAATTGTATTACATGTTAATCAGTTAATAACATGTATATTGCATTGCATGTTAAACAGTTAATAACATATACATTGCATTACATGTTAATCAATAAATAACATATACATTGCATTCCATGTAAATTAGTTTATAACATGTTCATTGTATTACATGTTAATCAGTGACTGACATATACAGGGTGGTCCAAAAAAAAGTGAACCCCTGCAACAGGCTACATTTTTCTTAATACATGCATGAATTGGCTCATATTATCACATGTTGTAGAGAAAGGTCTAAAATTTTGGTTGATGCCATAATTTATTCCCAGTCTTAAATTTTGAAGAAATTACAAGCGTTTAACAAACATGCCTGGAAATTAGATATTGTACAAAATTTTACAAATGTGATTCACGGAAATTGTTGAAACACATTGGATGATCTTGAACAGCTTTCAGTAAGAGATACAAGTTTAAAACCCTACCATATGACAAAAGGGACACTATCAAACAGAAAACGCATTTCACACTTTCATTGATCATTTTGAAGCATTTTTAACTGTTCAACAGTTCAGGGGTATGTTACCTACACCAACAGTTAGAGGGGGGCCTCTTATGGAAGGAAGTTGCCCCCTGTGACCAGGAATCTGATAACCCCTTCATCAAATATCTTTAAAAAATCAAAAGAAAATCCAATATTCAATGTTTTGAGCCATATATCATTAGAATTGGTCCATGATTTATGAAGATATTGACATTTCAAGATCATATAGGGGTATGCTCATGATTTCACTGGAAAATGTTTTCGTCTGTGGAAGCTTAGCACATCTCTTTGGATCACAATAACTTTGCAACTAACAAATGTAGGATGCTAGTTTAAGCCATAATGTGCAGGATTTAAAATTGAACAAAGTCAGAAAATATTAGTTCTTTAAGACTGCAGCTTAAAAAATTCTCAGGGGAAAGGTGTTTAAGGGTTGAAGAATCGCAGATATTGAAAATCACAATTTGTCCATTTTCAGTAATGTTTGGTTAGGGCTTATAATTTCTGCAAATTTCAAGACTAAGAAAAATGTATGGTACCAACATAAATTTTAGACCTTCCTCTACAACATGTGAAAATAAAAAAGAATTCCTGCAAGTAATAAGGGAAATATGGCCAGTTGCAGGGGTTCACTTTTTTTTGGACCACCCTGTACATTGTATTACATGCTAATCAGTTTATAACATGTACATTGTATTACATGTTAATCAGTGACTGGTATATACCTTGAATTCCTTGTTAATTAACTGATATCATTAAATTGAATTGAAAATCTAAATGTTATCAAATAACAAAATATGCAGACAATAATTTAGGGCAAACATTGAACACAAACCGACAAGCATGTAACATGTATTAACCGTGCATTCACAATAACAAGACATATATTAATACTTACTATCTGCAAATATGAAATGAAGATTTAAAAAATATTTAACAGCTATTATAATATGAATAAATTGAAATTATCTTTAAAGTTTAGAGGACAAGTAGTCGTTTGCCAAAATGTGACACAAAAATGTATTTATTAAAATACATGCATTGAAAAATACATCAATTGTGGCCATCTTCAAGAATATTTGAAAAATTGCATACACTTAATTAATGTTTATTGTAACTTTAAAAAAAAACATTGGCCATATCCTGCCTTATTTTGCTATTTATATAACCGAATTTCACATTTATAATACATCTTGCATATATAAAAATTTAGACTTTTTTAATATATGAAAATCTATGAACAAGTTATATTTCCAAAAAACAATATTTGAAGTAAATCTATGCTCTGAGGCCACTCACCTATACTAATATCAACGGACACTAGAGCGTGGCCCTCAGAGTCTCTCAAAGGGAACGCCATGTGGCGCTCGCCATATGCGTCTGCCATGACAGTCTCAGAGTTATCAACACATTTGAACAAATAGTCCCTGAAAAGAGAAAATTAATATATTAATTAATATAAATATTGCTTTTTCATACTGTAAATATTGAGAATCGATAATCAATCATTATTTGTATTTTCTTTATTTCATATTTTCATGTCAGTAACTTGAATTTTGTTTTATTATATATAGTTTATGTAGACATTTACAGTTACAATTTATAGTGCTGATTTGTTGATCATGTAACAAAATAAATATTCAGTGATGGTAATATTTCTAATCTCATGTAATAATAATAATGAAAATGGGGTCTACACTTATTTGGTATTTTGTACTTTACTGGTGTTATTATACAATATAAAAAATAATATGTATCCCTAGCGGATATCATGGAAAAATTAACATGTAATTTACGCAGCTTCATATTGTATAATAACAAATCGACTTATTTGGAAAATAAAATAAATCAATCTTCATGCAGTGAAACAAAAAATAAATCAGCATACATATGTAATAAATCTTTAAGAATCTGTGAAAAATAAAACTAATATTTTGTGTATTCATGTGAAATATCTTATTTCTATGTGAAATATCTTGTTTTCATGTGAAAATCATGAATTCATGTGAAAGTTATGAACTCATGTGAAAGTCATGAATCGTGTGAAATCATGGGTTCTCTTTGAACTGAAAGCCCATGGTGAAACGTGTTGTATTCATGTGAAAATCATGAATTCATGTGAAAGTTATGAACTCATGTGAAAGTCATGAATAAGGTGAAACCATGGGTTCTCTGAGAAAGACCACGGTGAAACATATTCATGTGAAAATCTAGAATTCTTTGAAACATCTTCTTTTCATATACTCATAAAACATTGTATTCATGCAGGTATAAAAAGCCTAGACTTTTACACTCACCAGTGACCAATGTGTACTTTTTATAAAAAATTAATACATTTAATATTGTCATAAAGAGTCTACTAGTTATTATTTATTTCCCAGACTTGTAGGCTTTTTAAGATTCTTTAGAAACTTTTGTTCCATTCTCTATATAAACAAAGCGAATTTAATTTAGCATTCAAAAAATAAGTTTATTTCATGTTTTAATGAAGTTTATTCAATATAAGGCCTAGAAACATTAATAATATTCATTCTGGAAGATATGTCATAATGTTGCTAAAGAGGCTTAATAAAATTACCTAAATAAGTTATCCTTTCTCTCAAGTCGAGGTGGATTTTCCATCAATTTAGCCACACCCTTCTCATCTGACATCATCATACGTCGCAGCACGTAATCTTTATTCTTTGTATCAGGCTCCACCATATAGATTGTAATGTTTCGAACACTAGGGCTACGACGGATGATCCAAGACACAGCACTTTCACAGATTCTTAGTATTTTCCTCCTGATGTCTACGTAGTGGTATGCTATACTGAACGCTTTGGTGATACCCTGGAAGTGGAAATGTGACAGGGATAAGTGGAAATGTGACAGGGGTTAGTAATAATGTGACAGGGGTTCGTGGAAATGTGACATATAAGAGGAAATACAAGTGGAAATGTAACAGGGATAAGTGAAAATATGACAAGGAGATACAGGTCAATTGAAATTTTACAGGGCTCAATGGAAATGTAAAAGGAGTAGAAATGTGACAGGATAAGTAAAGATATGACAGGGATAAGTGAAATTGTGACAAGGACAAGTGGAGATGTGACAAGGGCCAATGGAAATATGAATGGGGTTATAAAAATGTGAGAGATAAGCGAAAAAGCGAAAGGGACGTATTGTTCATTCTATCTTAACAAAAATAACTGAATGACAGTGTATACAGGACTAGCCATTGCCTCACCTGGAAGAACTGAATCTCATGTGTGATGAAAATACTCTTCTGCTGGGGGTCATTAAGTGTATCCAGTCCCAGAAGTCCAAATACACGTTTATGGTCATCCTTTAGTGGCACAACCAACAGAGAGCCATCTATTTCCTGTAATGTAAGTTAAAACATCTTCAAATAGCACATAAGCTTATCATTGTTGTTAACTTTGGAAAGTGGGAATTTGTTTTCCTAATCATTGGTTATGCTTTATTTTCTTATCCCATATTGTATGCTAAAAATGCACAAAATGGTACATGGCTCATAATACACCATTTTAAAGCTGTTGACTTTGGGATTTCAGAAATCAATTTAAAAAAAAATTGACCCATGCCCTGTTTTTTCAAAATCTGCTTGTTTCCATGGCAACCATTTTGATTTAATTTAAACTGACCCTAAATACTCTATTGGCCTTTATTGTACTTCTTGGTAACTTGGACTCTTCCTAATATAATGTGTAATAGTGCTTTGAAAATTATAATTCTCTTCAGTGAATTACACACTGTTTACTCCCATTTGTTCATCTGGATACAGAGCAGTGTCCAGATGTAAGCATATATGGAAAAACTAATTGATTTCATTTTTGTTTAACCCCCCTCACCAGACAACAACACTGTAACATGCTGATTTGCCTCCCACTTGATTTTCAAAAAATCTTCACTGACGAAAGTGTCCTTAACCCCCCCCCCCCCTGCAACAACCTTTACTTGGTTTTTCCCAATCTGCTGATATTTGGACACCATGAATCCTATAGACAAATGGGAATACATGTATGATGTATAAATCAATCAAAATACAGTCTAATAAGATGTGCCATACATGTGCAGACCACAAAACTGAAAACAACATTTAATGATGAGTACCACAGAAATTATAAAAATAAATAAACAAATAAAATGCAATGAAAGTGTATCTCAGTGGATATACAGTATACAATAAGAGCTCTTCAAAATGATATAGAAGCAGCAGTTCACAATAAGCATAATCCAAGTGTTCGTGTAATCAGTGGTAAATGCATTCAATGAAGTGAAGAACCGGCTAGTAAAACCTGTCCATGCAGTAATGTACCAGAATATGATGTGAACGTGCAGTGTACAACATACAGTGATTAAAATACAGAGATATACAATTTGAAACAAACCTTTGTATCATGAATCTGAAATGTCCAAATAATCACACATTACAAATTAAAATACCTATATTGATTTTCTAAAGAACTATGACTTAAAGTCACTCAATTGCTATTTATTTTATTCTAATCAAATTACTCTTACTAGTTACTCTACCACAGTTTCTGTGGTAGTCCCATTTTAAAAACGGAAATGGATGTCGAGGCTTGTGACTTATTAATTGTTATATAGACATTCTAGGGTAATAACAACCCTGTTGTTGTGTCATGTGTGTTGTGCCCTACCTCAGCAGGCCTTGTGTGGTTCCAGAAGTGAATTCCTCCATGGTTGCTTACTCTGGGGACGTGTATAGGCTTCCCACTGTCTACTGATGCAAAACTGAAATAAGATCGCAAACTGTATTATTCTATGTTATCATTCACTGAAGGCCTTGAAAATAAATAGTATTGCTGTAACAATTTCATTTTTTTGACAATATATGTCACAACTTCTTGGTGGCAACATAAACAAGGCATTTACATGCAAAATGTCACCACCTGCCATTTGTTACAGACACTGATCCCGAATGCCAACACCAACCACCAAACACCTTGCATAACAATATGTCACCCCACAAGTGGTGTCATAAAAATGGAAAAAGCTGACATACCTGACTCCTTTCATATCTCTGTAGAGACATTTCCCGAGTAATATGTCAGCATCATCTGGTGTGACTGCGACATATCTCAGCAAAGTCGGACCTCTATTTGGGTTAACATCGTTATTCTCAAGAATGCTAATATTAGCTGAGATCTTTTTGCCACCTCCGTGAGTTTCTGCATCCTAGAAAGATGTGAATGAAATTTGATTTTTTGTTCAATTGTATAAATTATACATATAAATTATCATTGAATGAATAACAAAGATAATGTCCCATCATGTATATTTGTGGTTTGAAATGTGTGGCCTCAGTGTGTGGGGTCACCATATACAATCATTAATCCTTATTGAAGAGTTCACTGCTTCTTATATTCAATGACATAGCTTCCTCTCTGAAATCTTAAAAGATGGTAGGCCACTTGAAAAACTACTTTAAAGTGATCTGATTTGTTTTAACAACCATGTCACAACAGCAATGGACTTGCTAGATATATTCCTTTAAAAATGTAAAATCATGTGTAGTTAAGTCATAAGGAGGAATCAAGATTTTAGAGTCTAACCTTGTAAAGTGACTGGAACACAGCCCTATAGACAGAATCCATACTTGCGCCCCCAGTCTCAGCAGCATTAATGATTTGTTTCAACCACTTCTTCCTTGCATCTCCTCTGATCCTCTCTGCATACGTTTTCTGGAAATGAAAACCTTTCATTTAAATTTTTTTTACCAAAATCACCGTTAGGTGGCTCCAAAGAAATTTGCGGAAAATATCCGAACACCCTCCTGTCAAACCCTGGCTACGCCACTGCATCACAAGTTTCATCAACTTTAACATGTACATATTGTATATATCCAGAATGTCAAACAGGAGGTGAAAATAATAGTCTTTAAATTGTTCTTACCTCAACACATGACATGAGGAACTCTACGAGGTAGTCAATAGAGTCTTCCTCCGGGATCTCCGAGGCAACCATCTCTATGTAGTCACGGAACTCACGTTTTGTGAGTCGACTGTCGTATGATTTACCTTTACGACCTCTTAGCTTCTTTTTAGCTGTGAATGAAAATGGAAATCACAATAAACAGAAAATAGATATTAAGACGAGCAAAAAAAATTACAGTAACAACAAGTACAAATGTTTGTTCTTTATGGGTTTGATTGATGTCTAAGTCATACCATTTCGAGAATCTATAAAAATGAAAGTGGTTTGAAATATTATCAACATCTGTAATTTAATATTTTTTAGTGTTTTAATATTCTTGAATATAATATATACGGTAATACAATTATTAAAATCAAATCATTAACATTTTGAAAAAGTGTAGCTTAAAGATCAGGTTTAAAGAACAAGCTATTTTCTACAAGTAATCTACAACTAGCTACACAATCAACTATTGTGATTAAGAAGATATTTGTACATTTATTTCTGTAAATGTGCAAAGGAGATAGAGGTGTGGCTCTTTACATATTCCATTTTTTCATTTTCATTCCATATTCATTTCTCTGCCATATTCCAAGGAGGATTGGCTCCCAGAGACGCAAATCAATATTTTCCAACAATGAAAATGTGAGAACTTTAGACTGTCTTACATTAATCTGGTTATAAAAACCTGTCTGTCTTTAGTTGATCTATCTTGTGTGATGCAAGAAGAGAGGGGCATGGTATTAAATGATGTCCGCAACCCCCTCTTTCACTAATATTAATCCCAATATCTTATCCTTTCAGGAAAGATAGGAAGAACTTAGTAGTTTGAGACATTATTCAATGATGGTGATCTGACTGTTGAAAAAACATTGGAACATCATCTATATAATGCCTAATATGTCATTGAATAATAAAAACATCATTCAATGATTAATTGTAAAATAGAGAAAATATTGTGCCATCGAAAGGATGTATTTCACAAGCCACAATTTTCTATATTTTAATCAAATCATTGACTTTTTCACATTATAGCTACATTAATTGACTAATTCCATGGTCACTACAACTTACTTTACATTATAGTTAAAATTGGGAGACAGTTTACAATACACAAAGTATAAATAATAAAAGGTTAAATAAGATATAAACCAGGACAAACAAATAGTAGAATAAGACTAGTTCAAAAGTATCACCTTCGAATTTTTCAATGCCTTTGAAATAAAAAAACAACAAATACACTGAATTATCATATGATCTGTTAAATGAAGCCTTCTGATTGGACAGTTCTTGTGCTGTACCAATCTGTGTTGCTACTGAGATTGTCCCCATTGATCATCTCCATCGCAATACAGAAAATATTGGTACGGAGGGGACATTCTCAGTACCAATACAGAGGATCACAAGATAAAAACATTATAGAATGATTTGAAGTGCAATACAGGATATATTCTGCTCTCGATATTCTGTATTTGCACTCGACTTCATCTCGTTCCAATACAGAATTTCTCGAGCAGAATATGTCCTGTATTGCACTTCAAATCATTCAATAACTTATAGTACAGTACAATTCAACTACATAAAAACATTTTTATTCACATTATGAGGGCCACATGGAATTTGGATTGAGCAAACATATATGTTTCAAGAGTGGCATCCATCATCATTTACAAAGTTGTTCAAAAATATGGATTGCATTTTATGTGTCGCCCTGTAATTATGAACATTTGTGACTCTGATTTGAACACTATTTTTCAAATTGTCAACTATCAAGTAACTATCAAGCTCAGTATGAAAAATGTTAGTCCAATGGAGCAAAATGCCTTTCAGGAGTGTGCAAGTATTGTTGCCCATGGGCTATTAACATGGTTACTAAACAATGCAGTCTGTTAAAAATATCACATTCGTAGAATCATGCAAACTGTCAAACATTGCAGTCTAAATTAGTCAATCTGAAAATACTACTGAGCGAGAATACTTAAGTGAATTAATCTTGGAAATTCTGATACATTGCCCTCAACACATTTCCAGACTTCATACGCACCTTTATTAATGGCATCAAGTTCCATTCCGTCCTTGTATTTCTCCATAACGATTTGCACTTCATCAAACTCGAGCAATCCAGAGCCATCGTTGTCCCACATTTCAAACAGACTGTTAAGTAAGGCCTTTCTCTTCTGGGCCAAAGCTTCCTTCCTGGCCTTGAAGAATGCAAGAAAACAAATCAACCCCTTGAATACCCAGATATGTAGATTCAAATGCTGTTAACCACAGGGCCATTAATGCTTTGGCTTAGGCCCTGTTTATGCTGTATTTATATTGTATAATTAAAGGAACCATAAAAAACTAAAAATACCCAGATACAAAAGTCACAGAATTTCTCACTAAAATGGCTGTAATTTTGACAAATTTGTTCAATTTACACAACATGTATTTACCATTCCCTTCCTGACATACTCAACAAGGTTATCATTGAATGATGGGTAATTACCTCTCTCAATCTTAGCAATTTCTCTTCATCTGTCTCCACATAACCATTCCTAACATACTGGACCAGTTTATTGAAAGACTCCATCTCTGGCAAATCTCCAAGGAATGTCTCCGTAAGTTGTACAAACTGTGACGTGTTTAGTGAACTCTCATCAAACGCTGAGGCCTGTGACTGGCTCCTTGTTGACTCCATCGTAGAAAGTACTGAAGAACACGTTTTAACCAATTTAGTCATGCTAACTCATATATACATGTACTTCATTCCCTTTTCTATTTAGTAATCGTATTCCTCTTGAACGAAACAACATTTAGATAAACAAGTATAATAAAAGTTACTAGGTTGATGGAATGCCATTTCTTTTTCACTAACTTTTACTCTGACAATCAAAAAAGGGAAATTGAGATATCAGGAGCTAGGTTAATATTCTTACAGGCTCTCTCTTTCTCGAATGTTGTGCCCTCAGCAAATGAGACACTTGTTCTGCCAGTCTGTTGTGTTCGTGGTGGCTCATCAACTTTCCCAGGAGTCTTTGGAAGTGGTAGATCTCCCTTGTCTTCAAGTTCCCCAGCAATATCTGTAAAAACGATATGTTACTAGATATCCATATTTTTTGTTTGGCTTCTAAATGTAGTTTCAGGTATGGCACCCAGGTGACGCACAGAGGAGAAACGAGTATAGAGGTTATACCTAGGGAGGGATAATACGATATCTTCCTGGTGGACTGAGAGAAGATATCATATTATATCATCTCAAAGTTTTAATGCTGTTAAGATCTTAAAAGTTGCTGTCATGGTTTTTCATAAGATGATGAATACGAAATAAAGGCCAGCTTCTTATGAAGACATAAACGTTTGTGACTGCATTCTGATTGGTTGGCTGAGTTGTGATGAATCCTTTCTGATAGGGTGAGGCAAGATCAAAGGATATTTCAAAAAGTGTATCGCTCTTTTAGAGAGATTAAGAGTAAAATGTTGGAAGCAATAATTTCTTTCAAGCAATATATAATTTCTTTCAAGCAATAATTTCTTTCAACATGTCAATAGGTCCCTAAAATACCATCCAAAATATCTTAAAAGATGAATCTTTCTAAAATATAAACAACACTAGAGGCAGTGAAGATAAACATTCATAAAAATTAATCTACATAAATAAAAAGCTAAATAAATATCAAAAGTGTCGATATTCTGGAAAGAAAATATGTCAAATTGATATAATTAAAGCATGTTAATGGAAAATCTGCAAAACACACCAAAATAGTATTACACACAACACATTAGAAGAATACAAAGAAAAAACAACAACAGTAGATGGTAACATTAAAAAGTGACAATCACACAGAATCAAATCCTTCTAAAAACAATAGAGAATAGAGTATATGGTCAAAGAAAAAATCTTACTACAACTTAGGTGGAGATACTTATTAGATATATGTGAAACCTAAAAGTGGTTTTAAAATTTATTAACTTTGTGGGGAAAATCTGAGAATCCATGATTTAAACTTATGAAAAGTGATCTTTTGTTTCACCAAACAGATAATTATATTTACTGGAAACTGGTTAGATGAAGACTGGTCCAGTGAACTATATTTTCAGTCAAATTCAAGGTGGAGTTTTCTTTATTTGAAATGTTATCCAACTTGAGATAACCATCCCTAGAGGTGAAGGCCCTAACTACTGACACCAAGGTGACTGTAAAAGCCAAGAAAACAAATGGCTGGAAAAAAGAAAAGCACACCAAATCTAGGAATAAAATGTTAGTTGTCATCACGTCTAGTCAATGAGGGGTACCTTCTTCTTCTTTCGTTTTCTCAATATCTTTGGTTGCGTCTTCGACCTTGTCTTCTTCCTTTGTTTCAGTTTCTGCGGGTTTCTCATCTTTTTCAGTTGGACTATCTGCTGCCTCATTGTTTTGTTGTTCTGAAGGAGTATCACCAACAACTTCCTTGTCTTTTTCTTGTTTACTTTTCACACTTTCAGTTTCCTCATTTGATTGGTTATCATCCTTGGATTGTGATTGGTCCTCTGGCTTAACCTCTGTTTGGTCTTTGGTTTCTGATTGGTCACTACTTTGGGCCTCTGTTTGGGCTTCACCTTTGACCTCTTCTTTAGTTTCTGATTGGTTATCTTCCTTGATCTCCTCTTTTGGAGCATCATCTGTAGACTCTGCTGGAGAGTCTTTACTTTCAGTAGCCTCCTCTTTAGATTCTATCTGGTCATCTGATTTGACCTCAGCATTCTTAACTTCTTCTTTGCCTTCTGTGTCTGTTGAAATAAAAATTAATTAACTAAAATAGAAACATTAATCATGCACAAATCATTCAAGACATTAGCATAATAAACACAAGATTTCCGACATTTATTACATACATTTTATTACATATATTTTGCATTAATTTAATATAACAAAATAAGTACAATGTAGTGTTTGTAAATGTTATGTTTTGATAATGCATTTGTCACAAAACAGCCACTGTGTTTGATTAGACTGCAATAAACAATATCTGATATCATGAAAGAAAATAGTCAGCTCATGATCATTAATTTACTTTTAGAAACACATATACAATATTTTGCAAGAAAATAGATTCCCTGCTGTGCATCATAAGTGCTGTAAAATGCTAAAAGTTAAAACCAAAAAATTAAACACACTTTAATAGAAGATTATACAATATAGAGCAGAATTAATGATTGTGTTGAATGATCAGACAATAGAATTAATGATTGTGCTGAATGATCAGACAATAGAATAAATGATTGTGCTGAATGATCAGACAATAGAATGAATGATTGTGCTGAATGATCAGACAATAGAATAAATGATAGTGCTGAATATTCAGAAATAGAACATGCGTGCATCATGATACAAGAGAATACTAGTTGTATGATTAGACAAAAGAAATGTGCTGAATGATGAGATCATAGAACACTAATGCTGAATGATCTCATATTAAATAAATATACATAATATACGAGATGATGAGACCACAGAAAACAAGCACTGCATGATCAAACAATATAACACACGTGCTGTATGAGAGTAGCATATTGGGTAAAATCAAATGTGAACATGTTAATTGTGGTTGGGTGCTGATAATGACCTGCAGATTCTGGTTCCACATTTGAGATTTCTATAGTCACATCAGCTCCAAACTGAACTAAAATTGAAATATATAAATAAATGAACAAAGAGATACATGCATACAAAACCATACTTGTAGGATTATAAGTTATATAATGGAGGCCCTTTTAAAGATGGCCTACATGTAGGTCAATGACCTTAACTTATAACCTTTGACCTCTGCAATATATTTTGATCTCTTTAGGTTCTCAGTAATCTGTTTGAAAACTTTTGATCTCATATACATGATTTGTATATATACTTTCCTAATTATTTCGAAGGTCAATTGTAAGGTCATTGAAAAGTAAAGCCTCAATTCAAGGGCTCTTATGTACCAGTACATTCCTGCTTATCTTTCAAAAATAAAAATAAAATTGCATCTTGTAAGGCTATGACTACACCAAACTAGGCCTACTCTGGTACCTTCCTGCCAAATTTTCAAGTATAAGAGAAAACCTGTCGTGTGAGACAAACTATGACTATACAAAGCAAAATCTACATTGGTACCTCCCTGCAGCGCATATTTTCATATGTAAAAGAGAAAATGCATCTTATGGGATTATGAGACTATACCACGCATACGCAAGGCCTGCAATTGTACCTTCATGCTTGTTTTTTAGAATTACAAGAGAAAACTCAACTCAAGAGACAAGCTAATTGACTACTACTACAATCAAGACAGAATAAGGCTGATAAAATTGGTACCCTCCTGCTCATTTTTCAGAAATGAAAAAGAAAGCGCATCTTGTGAGAAAGCTATAACTATACCAAAGGTCTACTATGGTACATTCTTGCAGAAATATAAAAGAAAATGCATCTTGTGAGACAATCTTTGACTACACCAAGCAAGGTCTAATATGGTACCTCTGTGCCTAATTTTCAAAAATATAAAAGAAAATGCATCTTGTGAAACAAGCTATGACTACACCAAGCAAGGTCTACTATGGTACCTCCCTATCTAATGTTCAAAAATATAAAAGAAAATGCATCTTGTGAAACAAGCTATGACTACACCAAGCAAGGTCTACTATGGTACCTCCACTGGGGTACCTCCCTGCCTAATTTTCAAAAATATAAAAGAAAAAGCATCTTGTGAAACAAGCTATGACTACACCAAACAAGGTCTACTATGGTACCTCCGTGCCTAATTTTCAAAAATATAAAAGAAACAGCATCTTGTGAAACCAGCTATGACTACACCAAGCAAGGTCTACTATGGTACCTCCACGGGGGTACCTCCCTGCCTAATTTTCAAAAATATAAAAGAAAAAGCATCTTGTGAAACAAGCTATGACTATACCAAGCAAGGTCTACTATGGTACCTTTCTGCTGCTCATTTTCCTCCAGTGGTGAAGTACTTTGAGATGGCTGCTTGGTATTGTCTTCAATTTCATTCTTATTCACTTTGCTTTCAGTTGAATCATTTACAATTTGGGTAGATGACTTTGTGTCATCTTTCATTTCCGTTTTTTTAATTGGAACAGCCTCTGTTGATGCTGCATGTATCAGTTATAGATGGGGATAAATATGCTGACTTTGGAACACATAATACTATAGGGGTGGGTATGCCATGAATAAGCATTTGTCCATATTGGTCGTTCTAAATGAATTTTTTAAGGCCAGCAGAGAGAACTGAAGCATACATAATAGCAAAAACTGATAATTTGATTTAAAAAGTAGACTTTGATGAGCAGATCTGAAATCCTGATGTCACACTCTGATAATTTACATGCGACATAATGCAGAAACTGACAAACTAGAATACAATATACACATTTAAAGTGTCATGTAGCCATGGCAACAAAACATTAGGAATTAAACAAAACTATTTGTGACAAATGAACATACAAACCTCACAAATAAAATACAAAATAAAATAAAAATGAAAAAACATTTTCACCAATATTCAGACATACCAATACAATATTTAACCACATGTTTAACAAGAAATACATGTATGTTGTTACCTTTGCTTTCGACAGGTTCATCTTTAGCTTCAGTAGGCTTGTCAACATCAGTTTTTTCCTTCTCTTTCTCCTGAAACATACATGTAAGAATCTTATTATCATTTTGATTGTATGGCTGTTTACAGTGAAAATTTCCCCAAGACTAACCTATATTATTTGTTTGGAGCTTTTGAAACACAACTCGTCCTTTCATCAGCATTTACTTCTGAAAATGGCAGGAAATTCAACTAATTTGACCGTTGACCTTGCTACATCCAGTAGGGATCTGTCAATCCTAAAACCCTCATCCAGTTCAAACTTGGTTCAAGAATGTTAATTTTGATGGCTTCCTTCACTTTCCTAGGGAAATCCTTGAAGTTCTTTTCACTCCATAAAATCTTACAATCATCCCAGTCTATAGTGTGGCCCGTATTACACGAATGTTCAACCAAAGCAGATGTCAATTCTCTGCCTTAAATCTTATGGCTGATTTTACGCATGATTGTGACATTGTTTATGTTTGCACCTTAGGTTGGGTGTAAACAGATAGAAAGCAGTACGTTTGTTTAGACCAATTTTTAGACATCGAGATAGCTAAAATATTTTTACACAGTTGGCTATTTCGGAAACTGCTTTTATTGAATTAAAATGCCGCAAAACCATGTGCATCATTGAAGAGATTTGAAATTCAAACAGGCTTTGATAGCATTTTCTTGACTCCTAGAAATATCAGAAAAATGATCATGCATTACATTGCATAACGGTATAAGGGTTTTAAAATAATTTTATTTTACACTGTACCTTTGATTCCTCTGTGACATCCACATTGTTGTCTATCAGTTTAGGTTTCTGTTCATCATCATCGTAATCACTCTCAGTTTCATCTACTTCAACAACAGGCCCTGGAGAAACAAATAACAAAGTCTAAAGCAACATGTAGCTGGCATAAAGTAGCATATACATGTATTAGACCCTAAAGTAACACATTTAAGAGACCTGAAAGGTCTTAAATTATAGCCCTTGACCTAACATATACTCGACTCTAACAGTAAGGCATCATACATGTATACCATGCCCTAAAGAAGTATTATATAAGCATACCCAAGTACATGTATGCAAAATAGTTTTCAAGCTAGTAAATGACCACTGAGGCCTTTAGATCAAGATTATTTACTCACTAAAAGTGTAACGGTTTGTTACGGAAGCTGACTCTGAATGTCAAACACAATGCAAACAATTACAATGACTTCAAATGCTCACTTCTAAATACTATATTTATGTAAGTCACCAATCATTGGCGGGGAAATAAAACCAGAACTCTGAATTCCAATAATCCAACTTACATTTACGAGGGTTCCTTAGACCGACTGAAGTTTTAGCACCAGCCCTTTCATAGAAGTTTTCAAAGAGAGCAAGTACACGATGTCTGTCCAATATTCCAATCTGAAAGATATAAGATTCACTTCATATAGTTATTTCAAGAATTTGTTTTACATACTTACAGGATATAGCTTGGATGAAGAGTTGGCATTTACAATTATTTTTGACTGTATGGTGAAAAGAAATGTTTATACAATACATTCAATTACATTTAAATTAAGTATATTGTAATTACATTCTAAGACAGAAATACTCAGAAAATTATGGATCAAAACAAGATGTACATGTATACAGTAGTAATAGTGCTGTCCCCAGGTCTGATTTCGGTGATCGGCTAGTAAAAAAGGTTTGAGGATATCATTTTGTTCTTGACACTCGCTAGAGTAAATTATCCTAACTTGAGTAAAAATGTGTGGTAAGTGAATTCGCTATGGGCAGTTAGAGAGGCGCCATCTATTCATTTTCAAACAGGGGGTAGGGGTATAAAATAATTTTTTATCACATTTTAATAGTAAAATGACATTGAAATACTAATAAAATCTTATCAAAAACATTATTTACAATCAGTATGAATTTTCTTGTGTGGATTAGGGTGAAAATAAGTGCATATTTTGAAATTCACTACAGGGGCGCCACCTATTTTCATACTTCTACCAGGTGTAATAACTTATTTTAGATTCGATTCGATTAGGTACGAAATGTACTGAAAAAAATCAATCTAAAGGACCTATATATTTTCATACCACATACTTAAAATTGGATCAATAGCTTTTGTACCGGGGGAGAAAAAAATTCTTGAAATTTAAGAATATTAATTATTTTCACCCTAATCCACACAAGAAAATTCGTACTGATTGTAAATAATGTTTTTGATAAGATTTTATTAGTATTTCAATGTCATTTTACTATTAAAATGTGTTAAAAATTATTTTATACCCCTACCCCCTGTTTGAAAATGAATAGATGGCACCTCTTTAACTGCCCATACAAATTTACTTACCACACATTTTTACTCAAGTTAGGATAATTTACTCTAGAGAGTGTCTGGAACAAAATGATACCCTCAAACCTTTTTTACTAGCCGATCACCGAAATCAGACCTGGGGACAGTATCATAATATATTTTATTAAGATAAAGTAATCTTTTTCAAATTATGAGAAAAAATTAAGTAAAATAAAGTACCTCATTTCTAAGTTTGGTATGATTTATGGATTTATTTTATTTTTCAAGGTAATTATATTATATTAATCATACTATCCTACATTATTAATAAACTTACCCCGCTGTTGTCACAGGCCACAAATAGGTTAGTGAGTATGACCCTCCTTTGTCCCCTCTCAACTTGACTCCTATAGACCAAGGCACACTTGGAAAGGTGCTGGACGAATGTGTCAAAAATCTCTGGAGGCATATCTTGGATAAATTGCCCCAAATACTGGAAATATATATATGTAGTTGTTGTAAGAGGTTTTGGATAAAGGAAATATTCCAAGGGAAATATATTATATCTACACCAGAGGGACTTCAGGGACAAAGGGTAGATATAACATATTTCCCTATAACACAGTTGTTATCCCATACATATACTGTAGTCAAATGTCAATTTTGTAAAACTGGAAAAAAATAATTCTAAAATCTTCCCCCAAGGGATTGCTTTGGTTACTGTGCTATTCACAGGATATCAATTAAAAACTAAACATTAATATCCAAAAGGTCACAACCTGCCATTTGTTACAGATGCCAAATGGAAAACTTCTGTTCACTTTTGGTGGTGACACAACAAAAGTCAAAACAGTATTTTTTCGCTAAACATCAAAGATTCAACCTTCTAATAAATAGGTACTGATTTGCAATCATACAATAATAAACTAACCAGCGCAAACTCCCGCAATCCCATAGTTTTCCCAGAGTCATCTGTTGGTTCAAGGGTGTGGCTCAAATTAGCAGCTGATCGGAGCTCCTCTGGGTAATGCTCTACGATCTCCATGAATGACATCAATGCATTTTGTAACTGAAATGACAAATAATTTAGCTTTGTTTAAAATATTTATCAACCAAGACATTTGAAACATGACAAAATGTTACCAGGCTGTTACAATTCAAAAAGTACACATGTTATTTTAGATAACATTGTAGATAGACATGGTACATCATTATGATAATTGTACATTATAAAATTAAACAAATATTGCTTTTCAACAAGTTTGTTGATTTATGTATTAAAAAGGAATGAACAGAACTTTCCAATTATTCCCAACCCATTTGGTGAACAAAGGTAGCTTGTGTATTTTATGTATGTACGACAAAGGGTAGATTTAGTGCATAATGATTTTACCAAAATATTAAAAATATAGTAATTGGCCATTAAAACATGTATGTCATTTATAAACTAAACAAGATGTTTAAATGCTTGCGAACAAAATATAAAAATCAAAAAGATTTTGGCATTTTTTTATTGCCAGTGAAACTCCATGGACTGCTCTGCCACAATGACAATTATCATTCAAAAAAAATAAAATAAAAGAAGTCATACTTGATTGAAGTAAAAAATATTTTAATCTGTATTTAGACTATCTTGATAATTATTGGAAGCCTTTGTTAAAATATGCTAAAAAGTAAGAATGGAAACAAGTAAATTCCGAGTATAGGACTTCATATTAGATCATAATTAAGCTTCTGAAAAATTTCGTGCAGATATATGATTTACATTGTCATTTTGTGTGTTGGTTCATTTTGTCTGCAAGTAAACAGCATTTGAATTAAGAAATAAATTGTGTTAAAATCTTGAAATTTCTTATAAAAATGATCTGCTCAACCCTATTGACATCCGATAGACCATTAATAAGGAACAGACAAATATAATAACTTTCTACCTAACACTTTTCTCCTTAGAAATGTGTAACTTTACAAGGAGGTCCCAATCGTAATAATAAGGCTCCTTATATGAAGGAGCTGTCTGCACATCGGGTTATTTATAAATACAAAGAATATATACTGTACAGTAAGCACATGTACATACATGTACATAGTACAATTAATACAAAGAATGTTATTTCAACTTTGTTTCTTTATCACTTCAAACAAAAAATTGGGTGTTTAATTTCCAAATTTCCAGGTTGTTGAAGATCGATACATCCAAAATGTCAGATTATACTTTTCAACTAATTGCCTGATATTTTGGAAATGTTTTAATATAGAGTTATAGTGAAGGTTTTGTTGAAAAGTGCTATTCAAAAGTGGTCAGAAATGTTTTCATTAATGGCAAGTGTTAGTTTTTAACTAAATTTGCCGATATGTAGAAAAAGTGCCGAAGAAACAAGGTAGTCTCATTAAGAATGCCATCAATGACAATTATGTAGAAGATGATCTTTTGTTTTTTAGATCCATCACAAGGTACAGAGGCAACATCTGCAACAGAAACAGCTGATCTCAGTGAGTTGATGTCTTACTTAATCTTACTTAATCAAAAGTTAAGGAACACAACCTTAGGAGGTCCCAAGGAGTTCCAAGAAGGTCCCAATCGCATTAAGGCTCATATTAATTACATGTAGTTGTCTTTATATTGGCTTTACTGGAAATGTCTATTCTTCTAGTATTGTAAGTAATCTAGAAATAAAATGTCCAAGTCTCATGACAAAAATACTACATGTAGGACATGATAAAGAATTTAGAATTTATTAAGGCACGGCCACTGTGTTATCAGGGCATGGCCAGACTACAATTATACAGACTACATTTATACAGTCACGTTAATCTACAAAGATATTGTGTTGTAATGGTTGCGATGTTATAGGTTTCTTTTCTTAAAGCACATGTCAATGAAATGCAGGACTTCCTCCATATTTGATTTGTATGACATAATGTATAAGAACTTGTTTTCCTCAGTCATGTTAGAAAAGTCCTTATTTGACGTTTGAATTTTATCTAATAATATAGTGCGCTCACTTTCGTAGATTTTGCATCTCATAACAAAGTGCAGCTCATCTTCAACACAATTGTCTGAACATTTTGTACATATGCGTTCTTCTACATTTTTATTTTTGTATCTTCCTGCTTCAACCTCTAATGAATGGTCACTGAGTCTCAGCTTTGTAAATAGTTTTCTTTTTTCAAAGTTAGTTTCAGTAGTGAGATATTCTTCAAGATGTATATTATTTTTGAATTTTACGTAGGTTCTCATTTTACTATTGTTACTTGGTTTGCTACCAGCGTTTATTTTCATCTTCCACTGGTCATTGCATTTAGTGATAAGTTTTTGTTTAACAGATTTTAAGAATGTACTTTTTGAGGATGAATCAGGAAGTTTAACATTATTTATATCAATGTCAATACTTTGCAGTGACTTTGCAATGAAATTGTACCACAGACTGTATTTTTTGTATTTCATGTGTGAAAGTAATTTGCTCATTAGAGAAGTCTTTGGCAGCATGCTTATATGCGTCCAGTATTTAATTGCACTCAAATGAATATGATATGACATTGGTAGTCTGCCAGTCTCACTCAGTATTGCAAGGTTACTGCAGTTGTGTTTGACATCAAGAATCTATCTGCAGCACTTTATTTGTATATTTTCAATTTTCTTCTTAAAATCAAACATGTTTTTTGCACTTATCTGCGTGCACCAGATTTCTGAGTTGTATAGTAATATTGGTTTTATACAGGCATCAAATAAATGAAGAGTTAATTTTACAGACCTAACATTTGCAGAGTAGAGTTGATTTTAAGCCAAACCAAGCCTTTTGTGCTTTAAGTGCCAATTCTTGGCTAGCAGTATCTAGACCCTTTTTTGAGAATACTATTCCTAAGTATGTGTATCGATTAGTGAATACTATATCTTGTTTTTTGTATCTCAGACTTTTGCTACCATTATTGCTATATTCACCACCTATAACTAGTGCTTGTGATTTCGCTACATTGACATCAATTTTCCACCTATAACAGTATTCCTCCAAATTATTTAGGTTGATAAAAGTGTCCACATTACAACAACTTATATTAACAATAAAAGCACAAGCAAAATTGTTGGTTGAAAAAGATGTTGACATTTTAAGTTTAACTTTTACCACTTAATTTACCACTTAAATTGTTTATTTTAAAACATGTATGATACTTAATGATTAATAATACATAACCAAACTATACTATGTAAACAATGTCAAGATCAAGTATTTTCGTTTTATCAAATTTTAAAGATATATACAGGGTGGGCCAATAAAAACTGGAACATTTTTCTATTTATTCTATTCTCTTTATTTTTGCAGTTCAATCTACTTCAGATACTGGTAAAGTGATTATTTGTGAAAGTGTTAAAGATTAAAGTATGTATGTATGATTAATTTTGGCTTGTCATGGTCATGATCTGTATACTGCGTGCGTCATGAAAAATTTCCAAATTTTCTCTGCTTGAGACATTAGAGACTTAGAGAAAAATGTTCCAGTTTTTATTGGCCCACCCTGTATATATATACTGGGTGGGCCAAAAAACGCCACTTTTTTTTCAAGACACTATAACTTTTTTATTTTCCAACCTATTTATATCCCAAATTTTGCAGTTATATAATTCCAGGGGTTCTTAGTAATAATATAATGTAACAAGCCCTTCAACTTGAATTATATTTGATCTAAAAGAGGAGTTCAATTGGTCCGCCACCCTCTTTGATGATAGCTTTTAGTCTTAGTTGCCTTGCTGATATAGCAGTATCAGTGAAATGTTGGCTAAGTTTCTTTCAACCTGTCTTAATTGTCAGTTTTAGTTGGGCAATTTTTTAGATTGGGTGCCTTCATACCATCTCCTGGAGACCTTCCCTTACACTATACTCACTGGGTATTGTATCAGGACTATTAGCTTGGTGGTCATCAGGCCGTATCAGCTCAGGAACATTTTGCAAATTATGTTTATTTCTCATGGCACACCACATGTTTAAGTGAGACGCTGGTGACATATTTTATTCAAGTAAAAGTGTACAATTCATAATCCATGGCTAGATAGCATCCTCGAGTTTCATTTGGTATGCAAATTATGATTTTGTATCAAAAATTAAAAAAGTTATAGCATTTTGAAAAAAGTGGTGTTTTTTGGCCTACCCTGTATAAGTCCTCTGAGTCATTCAGTTTTTAGTTTCGTTTTGTCATTTTTGAAATTCTACCGTGGCAATGGCATCAGACAATATAAATATAGGTAAATAAAAATATATTACAAAACTTAGTATAATAATACATAGTGAATTTACTGTCTTCTTTTTATCTTTTTTACAAACAGAATTTGAATTAAGGGGAAAATTAAAGATCTTTGTAAAACAACAATATATATATCTATATCTTTTATTGACTCAATAACCATGTCATGTAAATGACATATCAGTCACTACAGTGTACAAAAAACTACAAACTACAACTACATATAACAAAACTAATTTACATCATATCATAGAGTCACAAATCTAAGTATTGCTTATATGAAACACACTGAAAAGACTTCTTTCCATACAGATCAGTGGTGGGGAAAACTATCCATTGAAATCGGTGGTAAATTGGGAACTGACTTTGATACAATTGGAATCCACCTTGGTGTTGATAATGCAGCTCTCAAAGATATCAAGAGTTCTTATCCCGGGGCAGCTAAACAATGGGGTAAGGAATTGCTGATAGAGTGGAGACAGGAACATGCTGATTGGACACATGAAAAACAGATAACAACGTTACAAAATGCTTTGGAAGATTCTGGTAGAAATGATCTTAAAGTGAAGGTGGAGAAAGCAGAAGCAAAACGTAAGAAGTTCTACTATTTAACCAATCCAGTTTATGACTATTTCTTTCATGTAAGTGATCAGTTGATCAATATAACACTCAACTCAGCAAATTTTTGAAATAAAAAAAACGAGACTCCAAGCCAATAAATATTCTGTTAAAATTTTCTGTTTTCATATTTTGATTTTCAGTTATCATTTCTATATTATATGTACACTTCCCTCCATAAGTTTGGCAACTGAGTCTTCATTTGATAACATGTTCACTGTTCCACAACTAATTACTTTGACGGAACATCAATGTAACAAAAAATGGATGAACTCCCTGGATACGACTTCTTTCGTTTTCTCGATTTAAACCTTCTTATAAGTCAAGTTGCGGATTATCATTTGACACAAACTTAGACAATATAGTCTAACTTTGTGCCAAATTATAATCGGCAACTTGACTTGTAAGTAGGTTTAAATCCAGAAAACAAAAAACTCGTAACCAGGAAGTTCATCCATTTTGTTACATTGATGTTCCGTCCAAGTAACTAGATGTGAAAAAGTGAGGTTAAAGCCTGTGAATGAGTAAATCTTTATTTTGCCCTGTGATAGTTCAGAAATTAATTATGTTATATATATTTCAGGGGTTGCAGCTCAAGAACAAGCTAAGCAACCCAAAGAAGATCAAGGTGCAAAGGATGAATTAGATTTGCCCTCACCACCTGCAGAGAATCCAAAAGATGCTCAGTTGGAGGCAAGATTGAAAAAACTTAAAAGTTAAATAATAGCAAGAATAGCAAGAGGACTATTAAAGAACTACTTGATGTTGACCCTTTGAAATGCCTATGGACTTGGAGACTGGATTTTATCTATCCCACATCATTTGAGACTGAATGCTCTATCTTGTATGAGTACTTGTATCTACAACTATTTTTGAGATTATGAGTATTGGGTATCAATTTCTAATTTTTTCTTCAACATGTATTGTAATGACTTCAGTATGAATGAAATGTCCCTTGGTGTTCTGGTCTTGGATTGTGATATCCATGCCCCTAGCCAGCTTTTTGTAAGGGGGGGGGCTCGAACACCCCCCCCCCCCCCCGAACCCCCCTGAACCACCCCCACCCCACCGAACCCCCCCCCCAAAAAAAAATTCCCATGCTAAACCAAGCCCCTTTGTATTGTAAAGGACAGTGGCGGATCCGGAAAGTAACAAGGGGGACCCACATTTCAAGTCAGGAAAAAATATCCGCCCTTGCACGGAAAAACTTTTTAGGGCCCTAAAATCAAAATTCGGCCAAATTTTAGAAAATCTATGGCACGTTTTTTGAAAATTTGGCCTAACATTGAAAAATTAAGGCCCAAAAAGGTCAAGTAATGCCCAAAAAGACCCACTAAGAGGCCCTACAATATTATTGGGCCAACATTTTTTCTGGGCCCATTCTACGGCAGCGCAGAAAATATTTTAGAACCCTAAAACCAAAATTTGGGCCAAAATTCTGACAATTTATGGCCCGTTCTTTGAAATTTGGCCCAAAATTGAAAAAAAAGTCAAGTAATGCCCAAAAAGGCCCACTATAGAGGCCCTACAATATTTCTGGACCAACATTTTTTTCTGGGCCAATCCTATAGCCGCGCAGAAAACCTTTTAGGGCCCTAGAACCAAAATTTTGAAAATCTATGGCCCGTTTTTTGAAAATGTGGCCTAAAATTGAAAAAATAAGGCCCAAAAAGGTCAAGTAAAGGCCAACTAAAGAGGCCTTTCAATATTTTTTCTGGGCCCATCCTATGGCCGCGTGGAAAACTTTTTAGGGCCTTAGAATCCACATTTGGGCCTAAATTTTGAAGATTTATGGCCCGTTTTTTGAAAATTTAGCCAAAAATTTAAAAAAATAAGGTCCAAAGGGTCGAGTAAAAAGGTCAAGTAAAGGCCAACTAAAGAATGAAAGAGGCCCTACAATATATTTTTTTCTGGGCCCATCCTAGGGCCGCGCGCAAAAATTTTTAGGGCCCTACACCCAAAATCGGGCCAAAATTTTGAAAATATATAGCCCGTTTTTTTAATTTTGGCCTGAAATTGAAAAAATAAGGCTCAAAAAGGTCAAGAAAGGCCCTAAAAGACCCATTAAAGAGGCCCTACAATATTTTTGGGCCAACATTTTTTTCCGGGCCCATCATTGGCGGGCGGCCCCATGAACCGTCAGAAGGCTATGTTTAACAAAACACAAGGACGATCCTAAAAAAACAGAGGGAAAGGGGCACAGTCCGCGAAAAAAATTGGGCCAAATTTTGAAAAATAATGCCCAAATTCGAAAAACATCGCACAGTAATGCTAGTTTTATAATCTTAATTGCCCAGTGAATGTGGGGAAGAGCAAGTTTTTCTTCAAGGAAGCAAAAAGGTAGGTCCACATTTTTTTAAAGAGATATCGGGGGGGGGGGGGGCTCGTACGAGCCTCAAGAGCCCCCCCTGGCTACGGGCCTGATATCGGTTCTTGAATGGTGGGGGAAAGGGGGTATTAGACATTGTTTCTTTTCACGTAAGATCATGGTTTTGGGCTATATGGGGTTTATTTTTCTTGACTGGTATGCACTTAGAGTTTGCTTTTTCTTGCTAAGGCCATAAGAAGTAGATTCTTTGTTTTGCGTCCCCTTGCTTGCACGATTTTGAGTAAATCAGAAAAAACAAACGCATCCAAATAGCAATCACAAGGGTCTGAAAGTACCATTGCATTTCGTTCAATCAGAATCAGACGAAATGGTGGATAATTTGATGTGCGTCAAAATTGACAGTGTTATTGATTACTTTGGCATACATTGTGTATTTTTCTTATTTTTTACCCTTGATTAATAGCTATATGTTTAAATATATTGTATAAAATGTATAGATATGTGTTTGTTATCACTACAAATTGGTATGTCATCCCTTTTTATGCCCTTGAAATGTATTCATTTCTCAGCGAACAAGTTTGTGTTTTTTCTTGAGTTTGTATTTGTTTTCCTTGTACCCTTGCATGATTTGGATTTTGCCTGGACGCAAAACCAAGAATCTACTTCTTATGGCCTAAGTTCCATTTCAACTTTTGGTCCTTTTCCTTTGGCGCTAGTGCTTATATATTCATAATTTCAGGACATGATAATAGCAGAAAATGATGTTTGGTTTGATTACCTACTCTGATCATAAAAATCATTATCTTATTCTCAATTGCTTAAGCTTTATATAAAATCACCCCCATACACAGTGTTTATAGAGTAAAAAAATAAATAAAGTCAGCTGGGCGGCCAAACCAAAATATGACGTCACGATTATCACTACGCGCCGGTGATTAAAAATTCTCGGCATACGTCCAGAATCTCCACTTCCCGAATAGATATTCTAATCCTGTAAAAACTACAGAATATTTACACTTTATACTTGGCAGGGACATAATGTATAGTTTCTTTTTACGATTTAAATAGGTTTCGATCACGCAACTTCAATATAAGTAGGGTAATTTGAACTTTCATTGCGAGAATTTTGAAGACCCCTTGGAACAATCGAATAAAAACCACTAGTTCGGTAGGTAGTTTGAACTGTTGTTTTCAACTTGTAACATGTATTTTCAGATTTCAAGGTGTAACTTTATAAGTTATGACGTGAGTGGTCTATGTCCCTTCATATAAGTGTGTCTGGATCTATACTAGACAGATTCGCTGGACATTAAGTTGAAATGAGCTGTCCTTATCGGGGCTGACTCGATTTGGAATCAGCTGAATGGCGATTTTCCTTCTGACATTCGACGAGTTTAGTGAGCTCTTCAACCGATTTGCTCTTGGTAAATCGCTTGACCAACGAGATTAAAAGAAAGTCTATATCATATAGGTACTGCACATACCTTAAAACTGCATAACACGCGCGATTATTTGTATTTAATCGGCTCTTTACCGTCTCCTGATGTCTATTCAAGAGTGAGCAACTACATGTACTTGTCAAATACATTCCACAGGAGGTCAATGATACCGGTCACTGAGTACAGTGACCCAAAAGGCAAATTATAACATACCGATTACTAGTAGTACCCGGTTACCATAGAAAATATAAATTCTATTGGTAAATGTAACTAAATCAGAAAACTCAGAAAATATAGAATAATAACGTTAATTTTGATTTTCAACTGAGTATTATATTGAAATTGGAATCTGAGAATGTTCAATGCTGGGGCATAAATAAGGAATGGCAATAATATATGGAAAAGTATATTCATAATGTACATGAATGACATTTGTATATCATTGCAAGAGGTTACATTTCTTCATTTATCACTGAAGGGGCTTAACTTGAGGCAACCATTGTCTAATTCATAAAAATATTGATCCAATCACTCCATTGTAGGCCTAAGTTTTTAATTGGTTGCTAATGGTAAAAATAGTAGCTTGAGAATGAGAATATAATTAAGAAATATAGACCGAAAAGCAGGGGTAATATTGTCGAATACACCCCGCGTGAAATGTTGACTTTGTTTACATTTTATAGAAGGCGTGAATACATTCGTGTTCGAATATAAAATTTAGCATAGAATTTATGCCTGGACTGGAATAAAAGGAGACGTCGCCGTACGGAGAACAGTCTCTTGGGCTCATAATTTTTTAATGAAAAATTTAGAAATATCACCCAAATTAAATCATGAATATTCAAAAGAACACACTTAATTCTGCAAGATGTAAAAATATCACAATTGTTCGAAGCAGGGGTAACGTGCAGTAGACCGATTCAATAAAATACAATTAGTCTAGATTTGGAGAAAGAAGTTCATCAGTTTACTGTACTCATAATTTTTTTTTTATGAAAAATTTGAAATATCACCCAAATTAAATCTTTTCAAAAGAAGACATTCAAATCTAGCCTAAATAATGTAAAAGAATTGTGCAAAGCAGGGTAACGCTAGAGTGATGAACTTCGTTCTTCAAATCGAGAATACTCATTTGTTGAAAATGTTATACCTAGCATTTGTAACAGAATTATGCCTGGTACATACTTTTGCTCTAATAATGCAATATTTAATGTTTTCATGCTGGGGATATAATTGCAAATTTTGTAAAAATTATGCTAACAACAAATATGACACAGACAGATGTTATAATTATTTTAAATATTATCAATAATTCACTTTATTTTTATGATATTCAATACAATTTATATAATATTGCATGTGTTCAATATAGCAGAACTTGATTGATACCTTCTAAACCATACTATAAGGGAACGAATTCATCATCATTCATAGGGAAGTGATTTTAAAGTGTGCCCCAATTTCAGACACAGATAGATATGATAGAAACCAGAACAACGGCAATGCCAAAGCGTAGCGAATCCCATCGAACAGAAATGGCTGGCATTTTAACAAACGAATGCAAATATCATAAAACAACACACCAGAAAGACCACCATTTTCAAAATGGTTGCTCACTAGCCAAGTTGTCATCAGGAGAAATAATATGCTTTTAAGTAGCCATCTCTAAAATTTTCGAAAAATCGCACACATACTTGTAAAATAACACACATAAAAATGGTGCCCATTTTTCAAAATGGCCGACTACTCCCCAAAGTTTAATTAGACAATGTGCCATGCTTAAGGTATTCACATATCAAATATGAACAAAATCGCTCCATTACTTTTCGAGTTATAGTAAAATACGTTAAAATGGCGGCCATTTTTCAAAATGGCCACCTTCTACCAAAAGTGTCATTAGAAATAGACAGTGTGCCATGCTTATAGTATTCACATACCAAATATGAACAAAATCGC